CAGCGTTTGTCATGCCTGACATTTCCACATCCAAATCCAAGAGGTCGTCTCCGGTATCCAGATCCAGGTTTGTGCCTTGTTGGTCAAACGTTGACGATTGTTGCAGGTTACTGGGTGCACTCGGTGTACCAATAGCAGATTGAGACTGGCTGGGAGGTTGAGACAGGCGTGGCAGTGAGATATTGCCAAGTGGAGTGCCTATTAACGATCCAGATCCGTATTGATCTAGTAGGCCTGCGGCAGAGTTATCGGCTTCTACTCCACCATCGTTGTTCGTACCATTAGAAACACCGTTGTTGCTTTGAGCTCCATTGCCGTTGACCTGAGCTTTAGGAGGTGAGGGCTGTTGCGCTTCAATGAAGCCACCCTTCTCCACACAGACCACCAACTTCTTTGCATCAAAACTGACACCCAACGACTTCTCCAGATCTTGTACAACATCTTCTACAGGATCAGCATCCTCAATGTCATTCTCTACCAAGCGTGACAAATCCCGTAACCGTCTCTCAGCCTTGATGTAAGTTCGAGTACGTTTCAGCTGAGCCATTTTTCTTGCATGATCTGTCTTCATCTTGTCAATCTCAGCCTGTTCTTTCGTTGCGTGCTCCGAAACTCGCTTCTCGAAGTCCTTAAGTTGCTCAGGATCAAGCCTATAGTAGTCCTTGATCTTAGTACCCTCTTTCGGTCCATCTGAGTTGTTTGCCCCCGATACTTCTAAGATACCCGCTGTGAGAGGAGCAAGTTCCCCCATGAGGCCAAGGCCTAGATCGATAGGTGCGATCTTCCCGACGGCATATGGTGAGGAAAATATTTCCTCCATCCACTCATGATGTTGCTTATATCTTGACAAGCTGATCTCACGGGGAGTCAGGAAATCGAACGCATCCTGCGTAGCATTTTCTTCTTCCTCAAGCGAAGTATCTTGGGCTGCCACCCCTGAAAGAGCTGGGCGTGGTTGCGATTGGTTTGGGAGCCGTTGACGCTTGGCCGCAGGTGCCTGACCCGAGAAGTGTCGCGCAGGTTGCATGGGGTTGTAATAAGGCTGTTGTCCCCTCATGGCCTGTTGACCAAATTCAACTTTGGGCCAGTTGGCTTGATCGTGTAACATGAACTCTTTGCGCATCAAGGGGCCAGCAGCCTGTAACTGCGAGCGCATTTGTAGCTGCGCGTGGATGTCACGCGAAATTTGAATCTGGCCAGCTGGGATCCTGTGCTGGGGCTCTGCTGGCTTGTAGTGAACTAACCAGAGGTTAGGATCAGTAGTACCGGGTCCTGCAGCGATTCTATAGCGGAAGCGCGCGTGCAATGCGTATGGCTCATGGGGATAGTGATAGCCACTGTTATGAACGAGTACTTGGAGTGTCTACGGATATCAGTGAGATTCAAGTCTACATATTAGCTCCCCAAATACATACGTAGCCCCGGACATTCATGTCGTATGCAGTCTCAGGGTCGGCCCAGACCATGCCATCAGATGCAAAGTGCGTCTGCATGCGCGGTGGCTGGTATGTGAGAATGACAGTGCCATCTGGAGGTGGAGAAGTAAAATAAGTCCATGCGACAGCTGCAGTATCGCGCACGATCTGTGGACCTCTGATGAGATGTTCGAGTGCCGATGCAGGCTGGAGCGCAGAAGCGGTAGGAAATCGGTACGAGGATACTAGATGGACGTGGCCAAGCTATGTACACTATCAGCGAGGGGAACATGTCGGTCATGGTAGAGAAACGGGTGCACTCACAAGGTGGTTCGGCACCTGCGCGCTGGGGTCTGGAACATTGAAGGGCTGATTCATGCCATACATGATGATTTCTACAAGGCGACGCCGATGCCGCGTACGTCGAGGAAGATGAAGTCGTGGTGCGAGTTCGCGATAGCCTTGGCTTGGGTGCTCCTGCAGTCCTTCGTCGCGTCAAAGCAGCGCGACAGATTTCGCCAAGATATTCTTAGTCAGCGGTTTACACTCACATAGGAGACAGAGAATAAGAATTGGATAATTCATCGGCTCAGAACAAGTTGGACTAACACTATAAGCGCGGGTTCTCTTTCATCGGCGCCTATCAAAACTGAGTATACAAGCATCTTAAAAACTCGCGTCATTAAATTCTGAAATTGAATGTCAACGTGTAGCCTGTCGAAGAAATGCGGCTATCGTTCAGGTCCTCCTTCAGGAAACAAGTTGAAATAGGAATTGCCTACCAGATAGCACAGTACGCGCTCGTTAGCTGTCAAGATAATGCAAAGTCTGTCAGCGTTCATATCATCACAATCTATGGTACCTGATCAAAGTTTGCTCATTGTTCCTCTTTTGAAGCTTGATTATTAAAGACAATGCAAACTTCGACCAATATCAAATTTTTGTTAATTACTACTCGTTCCATGTAAAGTATGAAAACATTGGTTTACCACCAAGGCTGGTCAGTAGCAATACTTATATGAATACCCTCATAAAACATATCGACGCAACAATTTGGTGTTACTCGGAGCTTCAAATCGTATGAATCAATTAGTGCTGCACACCTGCCTACATAAAGCAGTAAAGTTATCACTAGAGCAGTAACCTAAAGTCGTTTTGAGTAACTCCCAATCGATTGTACGCTCTAAATCTAAGTAGTATTGAGTAGCGTTTAATTGTTATTCTTTATGGGAGGTTACATTATCTAGAGATGACTTATGTATAGGGTACGAGGAAAAGCTACAGTAACTTGAATATTATTAATAACAATAACAGGGTTTTTTGTGTGGTTTTCATTTAATTAAATACTCTTTCAAAACGGACAATCCATGTCCCTGTCTCCCTGGAGTTTTCATCAACATAACAACAATTTAAAGAAATATCGAGGTTGGTTGCAGACCTCGGGAAGCTCAATTGTTTCAATATCTCCGTTTTGTGTTGCCCACATTAGTGATGTCTGTCCCGTATCATCTATCGCATTAATATCAGTTTCACCAGCACTGAGCAGCAGCTGAACTATATCCTTACATCCCCTATCATCCTTCGCGTTGACGTCAGCCTTGCTAGTGCTGATCAGGAACTTAGCTGCGTTTATGTACCCATTCTTTATCACCCGTATCAGTAGCGTCTATCCGTTGTTGTCTATTGCGTTAATATCTATCTTGCCAATTTAAAGCAACAGTTCGAGAATTACCCTGTTCTCATACTGAGCAGCCGAGTAGCAATGCATCTAGCAGCTCCTTCCTGGCATCATCGGCTCGTATCTCCAACCACCTAGGTATGGATTATTCTGGTTGATAACTGGAGAATAGCATCCATGCGTACCGACATATATAAGATATAGACCTGCCAATACTTTGGTGCATAAGTATAAAAATTGAATCTGCTCTCCAGTTTCGACTCGAATGAGCCGCGCACTTCTGCTGCAGTCTTCCCTATGTCAAATGTTGGTTGCCTCCTGAACTTAAGCAGCTTCATAGCGAGATAACGAGTAGTGTTTGAGGACTCCATAGTGGCTTATACGATTTGTATGCAGAGCAAAAGTCGAGTACCCGTAAATTGGTGCGAGCTTTGCTGGTGGATTGTAGACTGGAACACCTTTCTGGACAAAGTTCTGGGCCTAGAGCTGCATTGAGACGCACCTCCTCTTTAATTGAGTTTGCCCACACAACAAGTTGGGCCCGGAATGTTTCCAAGTTCGCACCTTTCCAGGATGATGTGAATTGCTGAACGGTCGATTTCTGTTCAAACCTGAACAGGTAACGACACAGGCCGATGACTGCAATGGAGTATCTAGAAATATACAATTGTGGTTTTGAGGACTTAGGATAGACCTAATAGCGTGATGAGCCAACACTAGTCTCCCTTAATACTATCTCAATATTATATCAATCTCAACACTGTCTCTCTATTGTTACTATATCTATACCAAAATTGTGATACATAAAAATAATTCAGAGATAAAGTCAAATCTGGATACTATCTCATCGCTCAAATAAGGACCATTGCTTGATGACGTGGGGCAGAGCGACCAATTTCCATGAATAGCGATGATAGCTTGTCTATGTACGTTGATAAGCTCACGATCGACTGCAGTGTATCAGCGATTGATAGCGACAAGGACATAAGACCAAGATTCTGACCAATAATAACATACGCACTGATGACCATACGCCACATGCTACTAGGCTTTGTGAGCCTCCAACTACGGCATCCCCAAGCGCAGAAAACTGCTGAACTCATTGGAGAAAGTCGGTGAAACGAGGCTCGAAACATTGACCACCAAACTTCTTCGATACACGACCATCAACCTCAGCTGCCAGTCGCGTGACATCGCCTGAGTCAGGTGTTCTTGAAAGTGATTGCGATTTTTGTATGCGAAGGGCGGACTTTTGCTCATCCGAGAGACCAGCTTCAACCTCGGAGACAGCCTAAGCGAGGCGTATTGCTGCGTTCAATAGCGAAGCCTTCTCTAGAGCACTAGACATGACTGTCGCTGTAGAGGCTTTAAGACCGGAATGTTGTAGCATAGTTGGACATGAGCATTCCTCTCCAAGCCTTGTGGGAGGGGAATAATGTTGAATTGTGTCTTCGTGCTGGTAACGAATATTTTCTCCCAGTTTTGATGATTATAAAATTGCTTGTCCTTTAGCTCTAACATGAGTACCATGTGTCGGAGCTCCGTGGTTGAACGGGCGTCAACTCGCGGCCATACAGTAGCTGGTCAGCAAAATCTAAATGACATCTACTTGAAGGAAAAAAATCGGAGGGCATATTAAAAACTTTGAAGAACTGTCGGCCTAGTATCTCAGAAGTACTAAAGTAGTCAAGGATAGGCGTTGCCGGAGAAGATCTGCTGAATTCCAAGGTTTGTCTCATACATGTTTGGGCCTAGACCTATATTGGCGGCCACACTAAAACCCACTTACAAAACACAGTTTTTCAAGGTGGAAGACCTTACTCTAGAAGTGACGGCGTTGTCCTTAGGTTAATATTACAATAGACTATATTACATTTACGTTATGCTTCTTCCATCAAATCAAGTAAGGGCTTGTGGTCTAGTGGTATGATTTTCCCTTAGCATGGGAGAGGTCCGGGGTTCAATTCCCCGCGAGTCCATTTCTTTTTTTTTTTCCTAATAAATAATCATTAGCTAGTGAGCGTTGCTACTAACTATTTATATAGTCTTGATCTACTTAACGTGAGCGGCAAGCGAACCACCTGGGCAAGCGAAACGCCTACCTCTGCTAAGACTACAACTCTCTAAACCTCTACTACCATATCTTAATAACCTAATCTTGAATTGCTTTCCTATAAAGATAGGATAATCCTAGCTATACAAGCAATAAAATCTAACGCGGTATTAAGTAAGCGATGCGCTACTTTAAACTACAATATTCCTTAAAGGACTCTCCGCGATTGATGTGCTAGAATTACTTTACAACGCGATATCTACCCTAACTTAGTAAAGCTCTTAAAGTATAAGGAGGATATAATAATATAGTATATAAGGAAGCTTAATGTATAAGGATTCACCCCTATACTTAGCTACGTATAGTATATAGCCAACTAACTACTAGCTACCTATAGTAGTAGTAAAGTTAGCGAGAAATAGGCTAGGAACCTAGTTTACTAGAGGCTAGAGGTTAAATCTTAGATAACTTAGTAGCGCGATTACTAGAGAGTCCTATATAGTAATCTAGCTATTATTAGTTTCTAGTTTAACCTTATATATAATATTAAAGCTAAGTATAGTTTCCTAGATAAAGATATCTATAACTTTAATAAGACTAGCTTCTAAATAGGTATTAGAGGGTCTATTAAAGTAGTTATAGTATCTAAGAGATACTTTAAGCTAATTAGAGTCTAGTTAGGTAACTAAGAGTAGGTAATATTAATTATAGTAATTAGTACTACTAGCTAGGTTATTCTACCTTTCCTAATCTTTAAAGTAAAGAACTATAACTAGGTCTAGTATTATAACCCTCCTAATTAATAGATAGGTATTAGTAGTAATAGCTAGACTATAAATAAGCTTAGTCTTAAGTAGTTAAAATACTTTATCTAGTATACTAATACCTATATAGTAGGTAGTTATTAGCTACTAATTATTAATAGCTATAAGAGTTATAAGTTACTTACTTTTTAGACTCTTTATAAGGAGAATAAGATTATTACTCTCTATATACCTTCTTATACCTCTTATATCCTCTAGCTACTTAATATAAGTTACTTTATACTATTAAAGTAGATATATAAGTAGGAAGTTAAGGCCTTAGTAAACTATAGTATTAACTATATTAATAAAAGAGCCTTTCTTAATACCTTTAAGCTAGTATTTAAGAAGTTATTCTTAAAGGATAATATCTAATCTAGCTTTATAGTAACTAGCTTAATACTATAGAGAAGTATTTTAAAAGTTAGGTCCTCCCCCCTATCTATATATAGATAGTTATATAGGGAGTTAGGCTAAATTAACTAAGCTATCTTAGTAGTAAATTAATTCAATTAGTTCTATATATATTCCTACCTTCCTTATACTTATTCCCTCCTTCTAACCTAATAATCTCTTTTATATAAAAAGGGATATATTTAATCTAGGCCTATATCTTCTCCTAAGGTAGCTCTCTTTAATACTTCTTCTATATATATATAGCTTTATCTTTATTCTTTAGTACTCCTTTCTTTATTATCTCTCTCTTTATATAAAACTAGTAAGGCTTAATAGTATTTAGATTAGGTAAATTACTATACTAAAGTAACTTTACTACCTTCTCTTAACTATATATATAGTCTTATATATAGTAAGTATAAGTAGGTACTTTATCTTCTTAAATTAAAGTACTAGGATACTTCTTTATATAATCCTTTATAAAAGGAATTAACTTTAGTTATATAATTATTAAATAGTACTAGTACTAGTTAATACTAGAGCTTCTTCCTTTTATTAACTTACTATTTTTTTTATTCTACTTCTATATAGGTTTCCTTCTAGACTTATTATAAAGACCTAGTCTTTCTATACCTATTTTAAGCTCCTACTTCTCTTTTATTATAGTCTTTAACTCTTAGTTTATCTTTTTAATTACCTATAGAGCTTCTTCCTTATTTTATTTTATCTCTAAAGTCTAGTAATAATAAGGCCCTTTCTTATTATAAGTAAAATAACCCTAGAATATAAACTTAGAGTATCTCTTCTATCTTTTATAAATATAGCTCTTTATAAAAGCCTTATTAACCTTTCTCTAAATCCTATATTATCTATATTAATAAAGAAGTATAATAGCTATCTTATTAGACTAAATTATATTCTTCTAATTCTTAATAGTCTAGTATTTATATTTAAGTTATTAATTTAGCTAATCCTTCTTTATCTTCTTTATTAGTCTAGGTTTCCTTATTAGTATTATTTTCTTAAATCTAGCTTTCCTAAGTACTCTCTATATAGTAGTAGCTAATATATCTAAGCTATCTTTACTAAGTTTACTAGTAATATTAGTATAGTTCTTCTCTCTCCTATACTAATTATATCTTATAAGATTAATAACCTTCTTATAAGCTTCTTACTATTTAGAAGGTCTCTTAGAGTATAGTAAATTCTTAAGGTATTTATCTAAGAGTATAAGAAGTCTTTAACTAGAATTAAAGCCTCTCTTAATTACCTAGGTATAAATCTAATTAATTATATACTTCTTAATACTAGTTAATACTATAATCTTAGGGTTTAATTTCCTCTTAACCTTATAGGCTATAATTAAGGTATAAGTTATAATATTAAAGGTAGGTAGTATTTAGAATATTTAAATTAAAGATAAGATAGAAAAGAAATAGCTCCTAGAATTTAGTTATATAAAGAATACGTAGATTATAAGAATTTAGTATTATATCGGTCTAATTAATCTCTAAAACTATCTATATATAAGTAGGAGAGAGACTTAACTTTTAAAATACTTCTCTATACTAGATTTAGAGGTAGTAATATTAAGGCTTAAAGTAAAGCCTTATATACTAACTCTACTACTACTAGGGCCTACTACCTAGTAGCTAAAAATACTAAGTAATATATAGGAGTTAGAGGCTTAAACTACTTATTAAGAGTTTACTAATATACTAACTATATATTAGTAAAGTATAGGATTAGTTCTTAAAGATAAAGTAAAGTTAATAGAACTATTACTTAATAAACTTATATTATAAGATACTTTAAGTTAAATATAATAAGCTATAAGAGTTTATTACCTAGATTATATATATACTTTAGGTACTTTATATTAATTACTTTAATATAATCGCTTTAATATAATCGCTTTAATATAATCGCTTTAATATAGTTACTTTATATTAAGTACTTAATCTTATATACTTTATCTTATACGCTTTAATTAAAGTAATTATATAATAACTATTACCTTATCCTATATATCTATCTAATAGTTATTCTATATAGGGTTTAAGTTCTATTTAATAGGCTAGTAAATAGGTAAGAGTTAGGTTAGGATTAGGTTAGATTACGTAATAACCTAACCTAACCTAACCTAAGTTTACTAGGTTAGTACTAGTAATAGGTTAGATTAGGTTAGAGTTATATAGGCTCTAGGTTTAGGTTAGATTAGTATAGACTAGGTTACCTTAGGTTTAAGTAATATATATTTTATATTAAATATAATTTATTTTATTTTTACTAATAAGTATAATTATATTATTATAGCGAATAATTATAGTATATATAAAATACTTTATATTTATAATATTATATAATATTATATAACCTAATAGGTACCCTAACCTAACCTATACCTATACTAGCGCTAGGTTCGACTAAACCTATACCTAGGGCCTATATAACTCTAACCTAACCTAACCTAAAGAGGTAGGAACTCTAACCTAACCTAAACCTAGAGTCTATATAACTCTAATCTAACCTAACCTATTAATAGGTACTCCTAACCTATTTACTAGCCTACTATTTAAGTTATAATACTATCCTCTTTCTTCTAATTAAGTCTATCTTTAGGCCTTAGTTCCTAATTAGGTTAGTCCTAACTTATAAGTAGTAAGCCCTATACTACTTATAAGTTAGCCTACTATAATATCTTTATTAGCCTAAAAGTAAAAGCTCTATCTAGTCTCTAAAATTCTTAAAGCTAATTACTCTATAGAAATACCTTATCTTAAGTATTCTATTACTAGATCTTCTTATTATATTATACTAAATTCTAATTTAAAGTATACTAATTATACTTACCTTAATTATCTATATATTAGTATATTCTAGGAGTCTCTTAATAAGACTTATAAAGTATATAAGAAAAAGGTTAATAAAGATAAAATACTTCTTACTATTATTATTAACTAGTTATTATAGAATAAGAAGATTCTATAATATACTAAAGAGTATATATATTATAAAGCCTTATATCTTATATTAGAGTTAGAGTTAGAAGGTAAACTAGATTCTTAATAGATATTTAACTATCCTAACTATTCTATTAGTACTACTTCTTCTCCTATACTTTAGTTTATACTAGGGTTATTAGATAAATATATTACTATAGAGAGTATTACTTCTTCTTTTAATTATTCTAATTAAATTCCTAGCTCTTATAAGTCCTAATCCTTATTCTTCTAAATTATCTTTTAGATATAATTCTTAGTTAGGTATTATTATTCTTTTATTCCTATATAGAAGTAGATATTATACTTCTTTCTTATTTTTTTAAGTAGTTCTTTATAGTTCTAGAGGTTAGCTTCTAGTTTCTATATATTTTCTAAATTTAGATAGCCTTTCTATTTAACTAACTATTCTTAGTAGAAGTTATTATCTTAAAACTCTTCTTATCCTATCTCTTAGTATCTATAGAGATCTTTAACTTTAAATTTATTTTCTTCTTTAGTTTTATAGCGAAAAGTTTATTATATTAGCGTTTCTAGGTTAGTAGGTTTAAGTTTACTTATATAGAACCTAGGGTAGATTTTTATATCTTTTAGAAGTTCTAAAGTATAGTTAACTAGTCTATTTTATTCCTTAATTAAAAATAGTCTAACCTTAATATTATTAAGTCTTTTACTTTATTATTTTATACGTAGATTCTTTATATATAAATATACTTTATCCCCTT